TATTTATTTATTTATTTTTGCCAAAAAGGCCAACTATAGTCCAAAAAATATGGGCCGAGTCATCATAAAAAGCCCAATAACAGTCCAAGGAATATGGGCCGAAGCCCATTTGACAATTAGGAATCGTCCAACCCGCCATTTTTACATTCCAGCACTTGAAAACTTCGATTTCTACCAAGATCAGCCGCTCAATTTCTTCTCTCGTGGCCCAACGCCGGGGCCTACACGTTCTTCCCCGCCCGCCCGCCCGCCCTCTCCTCCCTCTCTGCCTCCGATCTCATAGCTTTTTCCTCCATCCTTAACAATCCTGTTCAACTTTCTTGATTGATTTAAGCTTTTCAATCCATTCTTCGTAAACTTCTAATCTGTAACCTTTGTTCTTCAATGCATTTGACTAGATTTAAAATCAATAAGACAATTCCTGTGTTGTTTCCCTTCTCGCGCCGGTTGGCTTGTGTGTTATCGACCCAACCGCATAAAGAACACCACCAGGAGCCGCCATGGCAGCTCCAGGATCAGTTGCTATATTCGGTATCTTCTATTCTCTCTAATTCGTCTCTGGACTCTTCTAAATGTAGAGCTCTGTTCCCTCATTTGTCTCCTCTTGAGTTTGATCGGATGTTCTTCTCCGTTGGATTGAAAGCCAATCCCAAAACTTGTCTTAACTTCTTCTACTTTGCTTCTGACTCTTTCAAATTTCGGTTTACCATTCGTTCTTATTGTATATTGATTCTTTTGCTTATTAATTCCAAGTTTTTACCCCCCGCGAGATTGCTTCTGATTCGTTTGATAGATGGGAAGCTCCCGTTGTTGAATTTCGATTTGAATAAGCTTCACATTGAGATAGCTAATACATTGTTAGGTTTAACTTCAGTTGTTGGGCGGTTTGAATGGACACAGGCTTTTGATTTGTTGATACATGTATACAGCACACAATTCAGGAATCTTGGATTTGGTTGCGCTTTTGATGCGTTTTATTTGTTTGCTCAGAAGGGAATTTTTCCGTCATTGAAAACTTGCAATTTTTTATTGAGCTCTTTGGTGAAGGCTAACGAACTTGAAAAATGTTGTGAAGTATTTGAAGTGATGTCCCGTGGTGTTCGTCCAGATGTTTTCTTGTTTACGAATGTAATAAACGCTCTGTGCAAGGGAGGGAAGATGGAAAATGCCATTGAGTTATTCTTGAAAATGGAGAAGTCAGGTATTTCTCCTAATGTTGTTACTTATAATAGTATTATTCATGGTTTTTGCCAGAATGGGAGATTAGATGATGCCTTCAAGCTCAAGGAGAAGATGATCATAGAAGGGGTAAAGCCAAGTCTTATAACTTATAGTGTGCTTATTAATGGTTTGACAAAACTCGAAAACTTTGACAAAGCAAATCACGTTTTAAATGAAATGGTAGACACGGGTTTTGTTCCGAATGCAGTTGTCTACAATACTTTAATTGATGGATACTGCAAAATGGGCAATATCAATGAAGCTCTTAAGATTAGAGATGTGATGATATCCAAAAATATAACTCATACTTCAGTTACTTTATATTCTCTCATGCTAGGGTTTTGCAAGAGTAATCAAATCGAGCGAGCGGAGAATTCTCTAGAGGAGATATTATCTCAAGGGCTATCTATAAACCGTGTTACTTGTTATTCGGTTATCCACTGGTTATGTACAAAGTCGAGATTCGATTCTGCATTGCGCTTTACCATGGTGATGTTATCAAAAAACTTCAGGCCTAGTGATCAGCTGTTGACCATATTGGTATGTGGACTCTGTAAGGATGGTAAACATTTAGACGCAACTGAGCTTTGGTTTAGGTTATTGGAGAAAGGGTCTCCAGCGAGTACAGCGACCTCTAACGCTCTAATACATGGACTTTGTGGAGCTGGTAATTTGCAAGAGGCTGTGAGAATACTCAAGGAGATGTTGGAGAGGGGTTTTCCATCGGATCGGATCACATACAATACACTCATTTTAGGTTATTGCAAAGCGGGAAAAGTCGAGGAATGCTTTACACTTATAGACGAGATGATTAAGCTAGGCATTGAACCAGACATCTACACTTGCAATTTGCTATTGCATGGACTGTGTAATGCAGGAAATTTGGATGGTGCTATTAAGCTTTGGGATGAATTCAAAGCTAATGGATTGGTTTCTAATGTTTACACTTATGGGGTAATGATGGATGGTTATTGTAAAGCTAACAGAATGGAAGATGTTGAAGAATTATTCAATGAGATGGTCACTAAGAAAATGGAACTAAGTACCATTGTCTATAATATATTAATCAGAGCAAACTGTCATAGCGGAAATGTTGTTGCAGCTTTGCAAGTTCGTGATGATATGAAAAGTAAGGGAATGTTTCCAACTTGTTCCACGTATTCATCTCTAATACACGGTATGTGCAACGTTGGCCGTGTTGAAGAAGCGAAACAGCTAATCGATGAAATGAGAGGGGAGGGATTGTTGACGAATGTTGTTTGTTATACTGCGTTAATTGGCGGTTATTGTAAGCTAGGGCGAATGGATATTGCTGAAGCTACTTTGCTTGAAATGATCTCTTTTAACATACGACCTAATAAATTTACGTACACGGTCATGATTGACGGGTACTGTAAATTAGGGAATATGGAAGAAGCTAATAAGCTTCTGAGCAAGATGAAAGAAAGTGGAATCGTCCCAGATGTTGTTACTTACAATACCTTGAGTAATGGATTATACAAGGGGAAGGACATGGATAAAGCTTATAAAATCTGTGATCAAATGTCCACGGCAGGATTATCTTTAGATGAAATTACTTACACTACTCTCGTACACGGTTGGAATCGACCTACAATTGCTAGCCAAAACTGATTAAATTTCTACAGAGGTTTTTCATTACCTCGTTAAACTCTGTCGATAATGTGATTACTGCTTCACGTTCAACTGATCTGAAATTTCTACCTCTGTTCTATCTTTGATTTTTATTTCATCAGCGATCCATCAATATCGTTTTCTTTATTCATTCGGAAATATCGGAGGCGTCTTTTCTCGTCCAAATGAAAGAGCCAAAAATGGAAGAGACGTCTTTAGTTTCTGCAGTTTGGTAGGCTTTGTTTTATAGTGTGCTCTATTTCTACTTTGTATATAATGTCATTAGTTTATATGTCGGCTACAGGTGAAGCATATGTTCTGAAAATTTTATATTATGTTTTTAACAGATCACGAAATGCTCGGCTGCATATTGAGATAGTGCGTCGAGAACATAAGGCGATCAGTTGAGATCCTCACCGATAGAAAAAGATGGCAGTTTGTTTAATGATAGTGTCGTAGCTTCTCCAACCCAAACCCAGTGATGAAAATTGGTAAACATATTAGATCTCGTATGTAATTTTTCTTGTTTATATCTAGATTTTCCATAACTTATAACTGAGTATTTATTGTCTTGATGTAAATTTTGCAGGCTTTAATATATACGTGGCTGTTCGCTGGGGAAAATGTCGTATTTGAAAGTTGTTCATAAGAACTGCTTCTATGCAGATTGGAATGGGAAGCAGAAATGGCTCTCATCTGCATGAAGGTGTAAGTTCATCTACTCCATCTTCTGATCAATTTCTTTGGCAACTAAATGTAATACGGTCCAGTGGTTAGTCAGGGTGCGTGTAAGCTGGCATGGACACTCACATATAACGAATTTTTGGCTCGAAGGAAAAACATATATGACCACCTTACTTGAACAGGATTGGATTTGGTGCATAGGTTGCACATTTGTTCTTGAGTTCTAAAGGAAGCATATAATTGAACCACAAATATTCTGAAATTGTTTGTGCTTGTTGTTGACTCTTGAAAAGGGCCTAACTCTCTTTGCCTTTTGTGAGTTCAGAAGCAATAAGGTAGTCTGGATGGAGCTACAGGCCCTTGTTAAACATCCCTTTTCACTGTTCTCATCACTACATCAATTGATCTGGTGTTAACTGCAGCCCCACCTCCATCAGGAATGCGCTCGAGGACCTTCTCGTGGCCTTTTGGATAATAAACTCCAGTTCATCGGTCGAGCATCCATGTGGCTACCTCACCCCTCACATTGTGAGATCCCACATCGATTGGGGAGGAGAACGAAGTACTCTTTATAAGCGTGTAAAAACCTCTTCCTAGCAGACGCGTTTTAAAACCTTGAGGTGAAACCCGAAAGTGAAAGCCCAAAGAGGACAATATCGGCTAGCGGTGGCCTTGGGCCGTTATACACATTGCTCTCATTGCTCTTCAGTTCCTTGCTTTCTGTTTCAACTCTCTCCCTCATCATACCTGGAGAAGAGGAAGCCCTTTCGCCCCATGGGGGTGCCAAACAATGCAACGGAGTCAGTAAAACGAGGTAATGTACTTTATCGACATATCTTATGTATTTTTGTATACATCTCACTGCCCCCTGTAATCGAACTAACTGCCCGACTGAACCTATTGGACACTACGAAATTTATCGAAGCCGAACTAACGGATCATTTTTCGATTTCTACGTCAAATGGACCTAGTTGAGTTGGTTCAATTGCTCTCCTTAGTTTTGGTCTGCAGAATTGTTGTTGCAGATCAAGGACAAGATGATGATGAAAAATATGAATGATTAACAAATTTCTGATGTTCTTAAAATTATTTGTTCTTGTAGAAAAACAGATTCATAAAACAGGAGAAATTAGATCATGGGGGTGAGAGTTGAAGGGTCTTACTTGAAGAACATGGAGTTCATTGTGTGAGCCCCTCTCACAAATGCAGTGGCCAAGCCATATCTTCTCCAAATAAGGTAAGTGAAGACGGGCTTGTTTTGTATTTATAGCTGAAAATAGAGGCTACCCATTTCCTTCATCCCAATGAGGTGAAGGTCATTTTACTCTTATACCCCCACTCCTTGGAGTTGGTTTGTGAAAACGAACATTCAAAATTCCTCTGGAATTGGGCATTATGGACTTTGCTCTCACGCTAAGCCAATGATTATGAGAATTTTTGTCATAGAGGCAGAGCTAGAAATTCTATGCACTAACTTTTTATTAACTTTTAATGAGTAAAAATTTCAAATTATGAAAAGAAATGGTTGATCCCAACATTCAAATTTGAACAAAATTAACCTTCCCTTTTTAAGGATAATTACAAAACGCTTCATATCTGATGCAGAGAAATAGCCTCTCATAAGCCAGAGCCATCTTCCGAGCGGTGAACATGGACGCCGCATATCGCCGGCAGGCCTTTCCCCGGCGCCTCAACCGATCGGAACCCTCTTTAGCTACCACTTCCAGCGTCTCCACCAATGATTCCACGTTTGGAGCGAAGAGGAATCCGTACTCATCATCAACAACAATGGTGCCCTTTATGCTCGGAAACCTTGACGCCATTACAGGTTTCCCGCTTGCCATAGCCTCCATCAGAGTCAGGTCCAATCCCTGTGGCCGTAGCGTTGGATTCACGAAGATGTCGATCGAATTGTAGAAAGCCCTAAGTTCTGACGGACTCATCGATCCTAAAACCAGAACTCGAGGACCTAGATCCCTGTACCGCTGTTCCCATGGTCCTGCTCCGGCGACGATCAGGTAGATGTCCGGATGCTGCTCTGTGATGATGGAGAAAGCCTCGTGAAGTAGCGGATGGCCTTTGTCTTTCACTAATCTTCCGGCGACTCCGAGGACTAGACTTGCGTTTCCAGGTATTCCGATTCGAGCCCTAAATTCTTGACCTAATTTGAAATCCTCGCCGAAATCGTCCTCGTCGACGCCATTGACGATCACATGGACTCTTCTGCTTGGAATTTGGTACACATCTCGGAGCATCTCTCCGCAACTGTCGCTAATCGCGACGTGGTGAGCGTAATTTTTGAAGAATCGGATCTCGTTCAGTACCTTCGGGACATCGCCTTGAATATTCATGTTGAAGGCCGGCGACATCGGCTCGTTCGGCCGGCGGGCTAGGTCCTGGAATAAGTCCGATTGCAAGCTCTCTAGGGCAATCCCGTGCCAAGAAACTGCGAGATTCGAGAGCTTTTTAGCTACACCGTGAGGAAGTGCAACGCTTTCTGTGTGAACAACGTCGAATGGTTCTCGGTGGTTTTCTTCTTCATATTGCTCCCAAGCTTTGTTGTAGCGCCACCGGCCTGGTTCACCGTCGTGCCAATGGATGTACGGCGCTGAAGTTGCAGACGAGAGGTTTTGAACAACGCCATAATCGGGCAGTGGTGAGGTGAAAACATGAACGCGATGGCCACGGCGAGCCAGAGCCGTGTGAAGTGTATAAGCATGGCGCTCCATTCCACCTGGGGTTGTTCCGATCGGCCATTTTCTTGAGAAGACAGCAATTTTGAGAGCAACAGGTGGGGGAAGATCTTCAGAGAAAGCTAGGCGATTCCAAGAAAATTGAGCATCGCGAAGGTCTCCAAACCATGAGTTCAGGCGGGCGGTGGAGGTAGAAAGGGAGCAGACAGAGATGGTGGAAGTGTGGAGGAGGAACAGAGTGGGGACTGTAAAGAGAACGATGAAGAAAAGGGTGGTACAGAGATTGCAGTGGGAGAGGGAAACAGTGGATTTCTTTTGGAATTTGGAGTTGAAAGCCATGGTTGGGGATGGAGAAGAAGAAAGGGATATGGGAAATGAAGAAGATGGAGTGTCTTTTTTGGGGTTGAATTCCATGGAAATTGTTTTTGGAAGAAAAGTTTGGAGGGGAAAGTGGGGGAGTTGGGTACGCACTGAAGCAAAGTGGAAAGGAGTTTTGTGAGTTTTTTTTTTTTTTTTTTTTTTTTTTTTTTTTTTTTTTTTTTTTTTTTTTTTTTTTTTTTTTTTTTTTTTTTTTTTT